TACCTAAATTCAGTTTATCCTCTAGCATGCATAGATAAACTAGCAGAAGAATAAATGTAACAAAGTAGTAAGTTATATTAATTACATTTTTTCCTGAACATTTCCCACCCTAAATATCTACACTGCTGATGTTTTAGTGACATTTCAAAACATTCAACTTGCTATGGGTTTTATATATTTCATTACAGCACTCTTTTCACGAATGTTTAATTAAGGAAAGAACATTTTTCCTCCCATAATTTTGGTTTTTGTGACCTTTTAGCTGCTTTATATCGTATCATTCCTATCTGGATCTATAACACTACTTTCCTACAGTCTTTCCATGATTGAGAAACAATTTCCTACATCTTAACAGAGTTGTAGAAAATTGTATATGGCTCCCAAATGACAGGCTTCTTCCTTTATTGTCAATTATTATTATTATTATTATTAACTACAACTACTACTACTACTACAACAACTACTACTAGTAGTAGCAGTATTTTAGATTTTGGCTGTGCCCAGGGCTTGCTCCTGGCACCGTGATCAGGGAACGATTTGGGGCACCAAGGGATCAAATCCAGGGACTGGCTGTATGCAGGGCAACTGCAATACCCACTGTACTACCTCTCGAGCAGTCGCTGCTATCTGAGAATAGTAAGGTTTCTGTACTTTGCAGGACAGGGTCCTGGATGCGACTGACAAACTTTAATAACTCACAATGACTTGGGACTTTGTTTCCACGTTATGAAAGAACTAAAAATTAACTCCAAGGATTTTTTCTGGTTGAAATAATCTACAATTAAATATGAGATGTCAAAAAACATTTCCATCTGAGCAGCAGCTTCTAAATATTCACAACATTCCTCATCCCTCCCCCAATCCTCAGAGGGTAGTACTTATATTATAGGACAAATAAGAAACGTTTTAACAATGACTAATTTTTCACCCTCCCAGTAAAGACCATCTGGCTATAGAAGAAAGAGTAAGACTGGTCTTTAGTAAACGCATTCTAAAAAGGATATGCTTCAGAAAAATAACAGGAAGACACATGGAAGAAAATACATCATACATGAGCTCCCATTTGCAGAAACCGGTCCAATTCCAGACGAGGCCATCCACTGTGGCTAGAAGTAACCTCCGAAGTCCAAACTTAAGCTGTCACTTCTAACCTTAGCATAGCAGAAGTGAGATTAGCATTAGATCATTTGCTCTCAGCCAACTCTTGGGATCGTAAACTAAAATTGGATTTAACTGGATGGTCTTGCTCATGGGAGGCGAAAACAGGGAGGTGGAGGCAGCGCATGCATAAGCACAGATGGAAAGGTTTCCTGTAAGATTTCATGTTTATTTAAAATAACTCTTGAAAACCAAAAATCCAATAACGAATATGTCACTCAAAACCTAAATGCAAGAAACTTCACTGGGGGGCTGGAACTTCACTACGTGGGTAGGGCATTTGCCTCGCACACGACCGGCCCGGGTTCAATTCCCAGCATTCCATGTGGTCCCCTAAGCACTGCCAGGAGTGATTCCTGAGTGCAGAGCCAGGAGTAAGCCCTGAGCATTACCGGGTATGACCCAAAAAGAAAAAAAGAAAACACAAACCACTTCACTGGGCTCATGGAGGGGATACACAGATAATTCAGGGACTCTAAGAATCTCTTAGTACTTATTTCGATTCTGCAACATTGGGGCTTCCATGGGAGTGGGGGTCGGCAGCCTGCCATCTCTTAACTGCATTCTCCATACCAACTTTCTTCAGCAGAATTTGAAAACATTTAGGAAAATGTACTCAAATATAAAATGTAAAGAAATAATGCTGTCAAAAAAGTATAGTCGAAGTGACACCTGCACTTGTTTGTTCATTGCAGCACTCTTTACAATCGCTAGAATCTGGAAAAAACCCGAGTGCTCGAGGACAGATGACTGGTTAAAGAAACTTTGGTACATCTACACAATGGAGTACTATGCAGCTGTTAGAAAAGATGAAGTCATGAAATTCATATACAAATGGTACTACATGGAAAGTATCATGCTAAGCAAAATGAGTCAGAAAGAAAGGGACAGACATAGAAAGATTGCATTCATCTGGGGAACATAAAGTAACAAGATAGGAGACTACACCCAAGAATAGCCGAGATAAGTACCAGGAGGATTACTCCATGGCTTTGAGGACAGCCGCACATGCTAGGGGAAAAGGCAGCTCAGACAGAGAAGGGAGCACCAAATAAAGGGTGTTGGGAGGTTCCTCTCAGGATGGAAAATGCGTGATGAGAGCAGACTATAGACTGAACAAGATTGCCACTCAATGTCTCTTTTGCAAACCACAGCACTGAAAAGGAGAGAGATAGCAAAAGGGACTGGTGGGGGTGGAGAATGGGCACTGGTGGAGGGATGGGTGTTCGATCATTATATAACTGAAACCCAAGCACAAAACTTTGTAAGTCTACAACTGTACCTCATGGTGTTTCACTAATAAAAAAATTAAGAAAAAAATAAATAAAAATATTTTAAAAAAAAGAAATAATGCTGTCTTGGGGCTGGGGGAACGGCTCAAAGGGCATTGCTGGACCTAGTGTCACCAGGAATGCCCAGGGGCTCCAAGGCTCTTGTAGGAGCACCCTTCCTCACTCTCAAACTGTCTTACAAGTTATAAAGAATGACTCGCTCAGCTTTAGAGACCCAAAGGTTGTTGTTGGGCTACCTGTAAATAGTAAACTTTACTGGGATTAGTCCTTAGCAACCTCGTGAAAGAATGTTTCATCAACATATGAGATTAGTAATAGAAAAACATGCTTCAAAAAAGGGTAAGAATCACCATTAGAAGCATGCAGAAAAGTATCAAACCATCAACTGACAGTAGACACTTCCTAACTTATGCAATTTCCATGGTCTCTGGCATTAGTTTAGTACTCATCCAACCACAAAGTTAATTATTTGACACCAATCCATGTTTTACTTAACACATACCTGCTACAGAAGCGGGAGGAAACAAGACACTTTTTTTTTTTTTTTGCTTTATGGGTCACGCCTGGCTCTGCACAGGGGTTACTCCTGGCTCTGCACTCAGGAGTTACTCTTGGTGGTGCTCAGGGGACCACATATGGGAAGCTGGGAATCGAACCCGGGTCGGCGGCATGCAGTGCTATCTCTCCAGCCCCAAGACAGCTTCTTTCAGTCCAAGAGGGAAAGCTAGAGGGAAACGTTCCTGAACATCACTTCCTTCCTATAATATGAACTGCCCCCACCTGAAACAAATGGGTATTCCTTTCAAGTTCTCCATACCTGCCACAACTCCATCATTAACCCGAGGCTCATAAATAGGACCACAGGTTAGGATGATAGACAGTGTAATGATGCCCACTATTTCTTACCGGCAAACTCATTTGAAGTGAGATTTTAAAAAACTAACACTCCTGTAAGAACACAAGTGTCAGGGTCTCTGGTCCATACAAGAAAGTGAAAGCGGAAAGACCCTAGAACCTCCGAAGGACTAAAACTGTTTCAAACACGGTAAGTTTCAACGAAGTACATCAGCCATAAGTGACTTGATCCTGCCCTGACACTCTCCCAATCGAGCTCACTCACATTCACAGGTGAAGCTTGGAAATGAAAATGGAAAAACTCACACTTTCACTGCACCCAGCCTCAACGCCCAATACGTCTTACTTCTGGAAATGGTCTACAGTAAACTGACGTTCCCAAAGAAAGAAAGCGCTGTTTGAAAAAGTAACCGGCGGACTTCCTCCTAGTACTGCTATCGATTACTTCAAAAGCGCGCAGCAGTAATAATCTACCTGTGTAATAAGGCACCTCGTATTTTCGCATACAGGTCAAGGATGCTCCCGTTGAAAACACGAACTCAAACACAACGAAGGGGAGACGCCGTTGACTATCCAGGCTCCTCCGGAAAGTCACAGATACAGAAAGGAAGTCAACACACCGTTTCCTGATTCGGCCAGACTCGGTGGACACCCAAAGGGGGTTTGAATGGGCGAGCCCGCGCTCAGAGGCTCGTGACCCAACCGCGAACCAAAGGTCGGGGCTTAAGGGCGATGGTGCAACGGCCCCTGCACGCCTCCGGGTGTGCGTCCACGGCCGGTGCTTTCGACTTTCGGCTCGGAAGGGAACCGTTCGGCTTCCGCCCTCTGCGCGCCCCCTCCTTGACAATAGCCACGCCAGGCCCGTCCGGCTGGACCGCCCGCCCGGAACCCGGGCAGAGAGACCCGGAGCCCGAGGCCGCCCGTGCACGCGGCGCAGGTCGCCCGGCCGCACCTCGCCGCGCCCCGAGGGTGCGGGACTAGCAACATCCGGCATCCGGCCCCCAGCCCCGCGCCCCGCCCCCGCAGCCGCGCGCCCAGCTCTCCGGGGCTCAGCCCTGGCCGCCCCGTGCAGCCGCATCACCCCCGAGCCGGGCGCCAGCGTCGACCCCCGCCCCCACCCACACAGACACACGCACACGCACACACACACGCACACATCCCTCGGCTCCCCCACCCTCACCCAGGGCCGAGCCCGACCCTCTCCGCATCCTCCCGAGCGCCGGAGGGACCAGCCCGGGGCAGGGCCCCCCCCCCGCGGCGCGCCGCACCCCGCCCCGCCCCGCCCCGCCCTCCTCCCCGCGGCGGCCTCTGCCCAGCCGCCGCTCCGGACGCTCTTCCCGCTCTCCCCGTTCCCCACCCCCCCCTCAACCCCCACCCCGCCCCGCCCCGCCCCGCGCCGGGGGATGCGGCCCCGGAAGACGGAGAGGCCCGAGCTGGGCAGGCGCCAGGCCGCGACCGGCGGGAGGATGCGGGGCGCTGCGGGAGCCGGGGGCGCCCGGGGCCGGCGACGGCGCGGCCCTCCCCCCCCCCCCCCGGCGGACCCCCGCGCCGACGACCTCCGCTCGCTCGCCCGCCCGCACGCACACACACACACGCCACGCGCGCGCGCACACACACACGCGCACACACACACACGCACACAAAAGCGCCACGGCCGCCCCCCCCCCCCACGCCCCGCGCCCGGGCCCGGCTCACCATCGCTCCGCTTGATCTCCACGTAGATGCCGATCTGGATCTTGCCGAAGTTGGCCGCTGCCATCGCCTCATCGGGAGCGGCGGCGGCGGCGGGCCGAGGGAGGGGGCCGACGCGGCGGGAAAGGCGGGGAGGGGGCGGGCGCGGGGGGGGCGCGGGGGAAGGGGGGGCGGTTGCCCGCGGCCGCGCCGGCCCGGGCGACAGCGCGGACGCGAGCGGGGCGCGGGGAGCGGGCGGAGGGGCGGCCCCCCGCCCCGCAGGCACACGCACTCGCGCACCAGGCCCGCGGAGCCGCGGGAGGAGGCGCCCGCCGCGCTGTCGGGCCCGAAGCGGCGGCCGGGGCTCTGAGGCGGCGCGGGGAGAGTGGGAGGGCCCGCGCCGCCCGCCCCGGAGCCGACGCTGGGGAGGCGGGGCGCCGCCGCGCGCCTGCGCACAGCAGCGCCGCCCGCCGCGCCGCCCCGAGGAGGCCCCGCCCCTTGCCGCGCCGAGCCGAGCCGAGCCGAGCGGAGCCGCGCCGAGCCGAGCCGAGCCGAGCCGAGCCGAGCCGAGCGGAGCCGCGCCGAGCCGCGCCGAGCCGCGCCGAGCCGAGCCGAGCCGAGCCGAGCCGAGCCGCGCCGAGCCGCGCCGCGCCGCACCGAGCCGCGCCGAGCCGAGCCGAGCCGAGCCGCGCCGCGCCGCGCCGCGCCGAGCCGAGCCGAGCCGAGCCGAGCCGAGCCGAGCCGAGCCGAGCCGAGCCGAGCCGAGCCGGGCCGGGCGGCGGCCAGGGCCGGCCCAGCCCCGGCAGCCGCGGCGCCCGACGAGTCGCTGTCGCATTTGATTTCGGCGCGCGCGGCCTGGAAGAGGCGGGACCCCGCGCGGCGCGCGCGGCGGCTTTGCAGTCCCTCTGGCTTCCAGCCGGCGCTCCGGGTGTGGCGCGAACGCGGAAAGGGGCCCCTGTGGTTTTCCCAGCTGGTTCTTGGGGGTGTGGGGCGGCGCTCCCATCTGAGCGTGTCATCTGTGATGCATGCCCCTTAGAGGTGGCTGGTGACCGTCCTTTACACAGGCCTGACCCGGGGTTCCCATCCCATTACGGAAAACAGAAAGAAACGCCTTGGAGCTACTGTACCCCGACTCCTGAGTCGGGGTGAAAGTCCGCTTCTGTCTGGCCTCCAGGTCAAGGCCACTGGAGTAGAGACGCTGCGCTGCGGGCCACCTGGACTGTTTGGTGCGTGATGCACCGCAGGCCGGTGTCCTGCCTTGGCTGCAGAGACCAGGACCGTTTGTCCTCGCCCCTAACGCCAGTGACTGGCTCAAGAACAGAGAGCCGGCTGACACAGAAGATGGAATAAGCCCTGTGTCCTCTTTCCGGAGTCACCTGACTAGTTTGACCACCGGAGCAGTATGCAGAGCAGGACTCTAGGTTCTCGCAGAGCAGGAAGACCGTGTGGACAGGGACCATGGAAACTGTGTTTACAGCTCCGCATAAAAACCTCCAAGCATGAGACTTCTGATTCTAGTCTTGGTATTTCATTTCGTACGGAAGTATACTCAGCAGCCTCCTCTATCTCTTAATCACTGTTAAAGCCCTGTAACACACACACACACACACACACACACACACACACACACACACACACCCCTTTGAAATTGTCCTCAGAGCATTTTGTAAAAAGCGGATGACCACCACACTCACACAGAGCCCTACTCGTCAGTCTTGATTACCAAAGGCAGGCGACCATGAATGGCTAGAGTCCCAAAGAACTCACACAGTTAGAGGACAGTCAGGGATGGGTCTCTAAAGGATAAAGCCACATAATGGATACAGTCAATTAGGAGCTGTGGTCAGTATAGCAGGTTACAGAAGCTAGTTAATGGTTAAACTGGTATGCCATTGCAGAGGAACAATGGGAACTGGAAGTGGTGATTCCTGATCTGAGAAGTTTATTAGGCTGCATCTGACTGGTGGAGAGTCCCAGACCTACTGCCTGGCTGGGAGGGGAATTAAAATGGAGTTCCTTATTTCAGGAATCCTTAGCTCAAAACTTAAGTCTTGAAGCCCTACATAAAGACATGTGTTGAACGTGCACATGCGTTGAAGTTTTCTACAGGCCTGAAGTTAGCCACAGGCCTGATGTTTTCTACCTAATGTAAATACTAAATCAAGTAGGTTAAAAGTTGGTAAGGAACTCTGGTTTCACTCTTAACTTGAACTTTTATGAAAGCATATTTCAATAGAAAAAGGTTTCTTAATTTTTGCTGTTGTTTAAATCTGGGGTTAGTCCCTGAGGTGCTGGAGGGTTGATCCACGTCCTGGGGGACCAAACCTTGGCCCCCATGTTTAAACAAGAGCTCCAACCTTGAGCCATCTCCCTTACTCAGGAGCTTAGTTTCTTAATTGCATTCTAAAGCAGGAATCATTTCTATGAACAAAACACTTGAGTAGATAACTGAGAAAGTAACTTCAGCTTTTACATTCCAGAAATGACAGTAAGAGCATTGCTTCAGAACCTTTATTCTTTATTTCAAGATGGTTTGGGAGGGCTGACAAGACAGTACAGGGCTTAAGGCACTTGGCTCGCTTGTGCCAACGCTGAGCGCTACGGGTGTGGCCCCCAAACAAACAAACAACAACAAATAGTTTGAGGGCTGAAGAAATTTTGATCCCTAACACCACAAGGTTCCCTGAACTCCACAAGGGTATGCCTTCTCCCAATGTTTTTTAAGTTTGATCAAGTGAAAATTTGAGATGTTTTGTTTTGTTTTGTTGAAAGGGCCATAGCCAGTGATGCCTGTCCTTATATCTGGCTCAGTACTCTGAGCTGTTGTGGGTATTCGGTGTGACCATGTGGTGCCAAGATTAGAATCTGGGTCTTCTGCTGGCAAAGCATAGGCTCCAGCCCTCTGTGCCATCTCCCTGACCCTGATATTTACTTTTTCCCCCACCCCCAAGATTTACCTTTTAAAAATTGTTGTTATAGGGCTGGAGACATAGCACAGCGGGTAGGGCGTTTGCCTTGCACGCGGCCGACCCTGGTTCGATTCCCAGCATCCCATATGGTCCCCTGAGCACCGCCAGGAGTAACTCCTGAGTGCAGAGCCAGGAGTAACCCCTGTGCATCGCCAGGTGTGACCCAAAAAGCAAAAAAAAAAAAAAATTAAAAATAAAATAAAATAAAAATTGTTATATTAAGAGTTTTATCCAAATAGTTTGGTGCTCTTGCCTGCTAGAACTCATTCTCTGATGTTTCTATGACATAGGTATAAAACATCTATTTGCTTGCAAATTCCTTAATGAATGCAAGGAAATCAAGTTACACAGCTATTAAAATTTAAATTGCTTCATAAAATATTGTTTTATCATGGTTGTTGACACATACCTTGTATCCAGTGGCTTGTATAATTAGAAAGCCTAAGCCTTTAATCCATATACAAAGGTAGTTTTAAACTATGCATATCTCCTTGACCCATTAAAAAAATGCATGTGACATGCTACTTACCAATTGTAAAAACCTTTCATTTATAGTTCATACTTAAAGGACTTATTTTGTGGGGGTGGGGGATAACATCCCAGCACATATGTTTACCAAAACTTATATTTTAGTCTGCAATTTTGCATCCAGGGGCCATAAAGATAGCTCAACGGACTGATTGCATGCCCGGGTTTGGTTCCTGGTACCACATGATGCCCTGAACACTTGTTGGAGAGATTCCTTGAGCACAGAACCAGGAACATGGAGCCAGAAATAGCAAAAAGAATGCCGACCTTAACTAGCAATGCAATTTGACTGAGTTCTAACTCAGATTATACACGTTTGTCTATTTCTTCTTACCTATTTCTATTCATTTTTTCACCGATTCTCAATTATTTTCACAAAATTTGTGAACCTGGTATCAAGTGGGAAAAAAATGGGTAGGTTAATAGAAATTTCCTTTATTATCCACTTTCTGACCTGAACATTTTTGGAGATATTGAATTATCTGTGATTCCTACTGTTTACCTAGAATTAATTATCATTAGTGTGATTTCATGATAAATTATTTTAGTTCTTAAACATTAACAACTGGAAGATATAAATTCCAGTTTTACCCTTTCTGAAATATCTAGCCTTTTCTTCTTCTTTGGGATTGTCTCCTCTGCAAATGTATTCAGGTTTCTTTTTCTTGGAAAGAAAAAGTAAAGAGTTCTGTTGAGCCCCCCCCCCGCCCTTTAAATTTCTACTTATATTCTGTCCTATTCTCTGTTTCCCTTGCCTCTCAATACTCAAATGATTTGAGTGGATAGATTTCCTACCCACTGCTTTGATCCCCATCATCATTCATTTTCTAACTCATAAATCTAGATTCAGTCTCTTATGAATTACATTTTTAAAAGTCAACAATTACCTTTTAATTACCTTATTCAAAGGACACTGTCATCTTTATTGGCCTTGACTTCTTTGAAGAGTGATTTATCTGCTCTCCCCAACGACACCTTCCTATTCCAGCCTCTCAGTTTCTCCTAATAGAGAGGTTGATTTGCCCTCTTTTTATCTCTATTTAAAACTTCCCATTTTGCGAAGCACATTAATGTATCTCTTCTCTCTTTTTAGCAAGTCCCTATATCAACCTTAATCAGGCTATAAAGATGGTCCTACCTAGGTAATTCTCAACCAATCACGACCACAAGAAACACAAAAGAAAGTTTGTTTTGTTTTGATTTTTTTTTAACAAAAACTGAAGCACAAGTTGTATTTCAAATCTAATAGGTTAAAATCTCCAATGTGGTCTGTTTTTCAGAAACTCATCAGGAGATGCTGAATCAATGTAAACCTGTTTGAGAACTGTTTAGTATCTCTAAATTCCCATTGTTTAGTATTTTCTGTACATTGGTAATAGTTAGGCAGGGCTAGAGAGATAGGACAGCAAGTAGGGCACTAGTCTTTTGCGTAGCTGGCCTGGGTTCAATTTCCAGCACCCTATATGGTCCCATGAGAACTTCCAAGAGTAATTCCTGAGTGCAGAACCAGGAGTTGCCCCTGAGCATCACCGGGTATGGACCCAAAATAAAACAACAACAACAACAACAACAAAAAATTGGTTATGGGGCCAGAGTAATTGTACAGCGGGTCGGACATTTGCCTTGCTCGCAGTTAACCCCTGGTTCGATCACCGTCGTTCCATGTTTCCTCAAACACGGCCA